ACACACACACACACACACACACACACACACACACACACACACACACACACACACACCTTCAGCTCGATCATCACTGGACAATGATCTCTAGAAAAGAAGAACCCTGACAAAGGTTGATAAAGACTTTCACTCCTAAACGTAGAATCAGAAACAACAAAAGAGATTTGTTCAGGTCTGATTCCCTCCTCTGGATGTTTGATAGGACCAGGTCCANCCCCAGTGAGAAGGTAACTGATTTAATTATCTTAATGGTCAATCTGAACAGGAAGACCATTAATTGGAGAAGCTCAATTAGCGTCTTTAATGAGGTCATGGTCTGTGATTCCACGAAGAAAACTCCTCTGCTTCAAGACTTCCTGAATGGAAGTGAATTAACGTGTGTGTGTGTGTGTGTGTGTGTGTGTGTGTGTGTGTGTGTGTGTGTGTGTGTGTGTGTGTGTGTGTGTGTGTGTGTGTGTGTGTGTGTGTGTGTGTGTAGATTCNGGACCAGGTCCAGGTCCTGGTCCTGGTCCTGGTCCTGGTCCTGGTCCTGGTCCTGGTCCAGGTCCTGGTCCTGGTCCTGGTCCAGGTCTCTGTCTCTCTGAGGATCTGGTCTGAATCAGTCTCTTCCTCTTTAACTCAAAGACAAACTGCTGGACTTGGTCTGAGTGTAGATGTTAACTTGTCTCTCTTGTTTTCCCTCTGAGCTGCAGAGTCCCCCCACCCCCCACCCCNTTTCCCGGCTTGCACATTGTGTGTTTGTGTGCGCGCGCTGTTTCATCACAATGCTGACACCTCATTCTATAGTCTTTTGACCCAGATAGATAGCCAGCCAAGGCAGATGTCTCCCATCAGCCGTGTCCAGTCCACCCCCAACACCTCTGGTATGACAGACCTGCCTGTCTGCTTCAGAGGGTAAAGGTGTATGTGTGAGGTGAATGTGTGTGTTTGTGAAGTGTGGAAGGAAGGCAGTGAGAGAAAGGGAAATATCTTTGTGTGTGTGTGTGTGTGTGTGTGTAGATTCTATCGCAGTGATGGTGAGAGCCCTGCAGAGTCGAACAGCGAACCTCTTTTCTCCGTCAACAACAGTGGAACCAGCCGGACCCGAGGTTCTGACAGACCAGGGTGAGAACCTCCATCACACTGAGACTCCGCCCGGTTTGATATCGAGTATCTGCTGATCGATACGTGACACAGTTCAGTGTCACATACATTAAAGTTATTAAAATCAATCAGTGTTTAAGCTCTACATTATATGTATAAATACATATATATATATATATATACACATATAACATGAAGAGAAGACTCCTCCTGAGGCTGAGCCCTGACGGGGGACAAACACCACAGCTCCAGGTGTGTGAGGTGAAGCCAGAAGCAGTCACATGACAATGACGTCTCAGGTGGTCGTGGGCTGTGTCGTAAAGCTCCGTAGATCAGTGTGTGGTGTGGCGAGGGAGGGGTGTGGCTCCTAAAGGTGAACACCTGTGCTCTCGACCACCTCCATGACCTCTGACCCGCTCTGTACTCTTCTTGACCACTTGCTGGAGGAAACGTGTCTCTCCTCCAGTGTGAGTTACCTGTGTTTTATTTAAGGTGCTGTGCTATGGAACGCAGCACTTCGTCAAATAACTCACATCACAGACGTTACAAGTTTCTGTTGCTTTCACTGTTCATTTTAAAGTATTTCCACACCGCTGACATTTTAGCTGCGTCATGCCATTAATAGTTCTCACACCTGTGAGACAGGTGAGGTGACAACAAGGACTGAGCTCATGGTGATAGGCGAGGACAGTCTCATGAACGTGATCACTCAGGAAACACAAACGTTCACTGAGTCTGACACAGTTCAACACAAATTTCTAACAGGATAAAATGATGAGATTTTATATCAAGAGGTCAAAGGTCAGCTTCACTGTGACATCATAATGTGTAGAAACACCTCTGGTCATTATTCATCACTAACTCAGGAATTAGACTGTGACCGTGTTTCCTGTGAGTTGCTGGTTGTTGGAGGAGCTGATTCTTAGACTTTACTGTGTGTCTATGATGTTTACCTTCATCAGGTGAAACACAAAGACAAACAGGAAGTAATCTAGAGTGGAGGCGGAGCCTCAGTGAGGAGATGTGATGTGGACACAGCTTGTTAACTAATGTGGAGCAGGATCTGAATGAAGCGCCTCAGTGTTTGGTCACTAATGAGTCCTTCGTTAACTGATTGTCCTCTGATGTGTCTCAGGCCTAATCGCTCCGGCTGGCGGCTGGACAGAGACATGGGATTGATGAACGCCATCGGTCTTCAGCCCCGACACCCCGCTCCTTCTGTGACATCACAAGGAACCCAGACGCCAATCATCCAGCTGCAGAACGCCGAGACGCAGACAGAGAGGGACCTATCAGAGCCCAGCGTCTCCCAGCCCCCACCCAGTACGTCACATGTACTGAAGTCAGTGATGTCATCACCTACATCACTGTCATCAGCCCCTCCATCCTGCTGCAGGTCTCTTCACAGAAGACGACCTGTACATCTTTGGTTTATAACTAGTTTATTAATCAGCTTGTTCACACTTTATAAATCACTTATAACACATTATATAAAAAGGCCAACAGTGAGCTGTTTCCTGCCAAATAGTGATCCCTCATGTCTCTGTACTGTTCGGCCTCGTCTCTTTTTCTCCATCATCAGCGTCTGTAGCTGCTGCTTCATCACGTTTGCTCAGTTACTAATTCATTATTAATTAACCCCGTCAGCACCTTGATGGTCAAAGCGTTTCATCTGGCAGATCACATGATCATGTCACATGACCAGATTCATCTTCTGAGGCCTGGGCAGTATTGATTACCTTGAGCTGCTCTCATTGTAACACAGCTGTTGATCAGATATGAACATGGAGGTGATTTCTGCTGGTTTCTCTTCTTCGGTTTTAACACTCAGGTGTGACTCAGGTGTGACCTTCCTTTACCTGGTGAACTGCTCAGTCTCTGTCCACATCTCTGTGATTCTCCCTTCATCATCTTCCTCTCAGTTTACAACCATTGATTGATCAGTTATTAACATTTATAAACACATCATCATTAATTAATGAGGTACTAAGAGGCTCCTGTTACCAGTTATAAATGGTAATAGCTCATTAGATTAATGAGCAGGAGGCGTTAGCTTAGAAGACTGTTGTAACTTGTTTATAATTGTTTATGATTTAAAAAGTGTCAACAAGCTAATTAATAACCTGGTTCTGAAGCATTTATTTATCCTTTATAAGGGAGTCTGATGGAACCAGGAGAGACAATCAGACACTGTCTCCTCAGATGTCCCTCCTCTCTCCTCACATGTCCTTCCTCTCTCCTCAGATGTCCTTCCTCTCTCCTCATATGTCCCTCCTCTCTCCTCAGATGTCCTTCCTCTCTCCTCACATGTCCTTCCTCTCTCCTCAGATGTCCTTCCTCTCTCCTCAGATGTCCCTCCTGAGACTCCGTCCACCAGTGCAGCAGCTCAGGGACAGATGGAGGCGTCTCCGAGCAGCAGAGCTCAGGACAGCGTCCAGGGTGAAGCTTCATCAGAGGCCAACACCTCCACTGCTGCAGGTACTGCTCTGATACAGCTACACCTCCTCCACCTTCAACACCTCCTCCACCTTCAACACCTCCTGCACCTTCAACACCTCCTACACCTTCAACCCCTCCTACACCTTCAACACCTCCTACACCTTCAACACCTCCTACACCTTTAA